AAGAGGCTATGTGGCGTTACAAGAATGAAATGAAGAAATTTAGTTGGTTGACAAGGAATATGTTGGTCACTGTACAGTGGGTGGGGAGATCAGCAAATACTTTGCCAGACGTGTTAGCTAAGCAAGGGGAAAATAGGGAAGAATTGTTTGGGGCTCAGTTGTGATTCTTGCTTTTCTTTCCTAGTTTACTTGTAAGATTCAAGGAGGGGTTGTAGCTCGCGCCTCTCCCTAGGATGTTGTATGAACTCACTCTAAATCTGCTTCTGAATTAATAAATTTATTATTGTTCATCAAAAAAAAACATTGCTGCTAATCCAGTCCTCCATGAGAGGATGAAACACATTGAAGTTTATTAGAGAAAAACTTGTGAGTGGAGAAGTGTGCACTCCATATGTCAACTCAGAAGAACTTGTGGACATCTTCACCAAGGGTCTTCATCATGTGCGGTATAATGATTTGTGTGGCAAGTTGGGCATGATTGACATCTATGCTCCAACTTGAGGGGGAGTGTTGAAATAGTTTATTTTATTTCTTGTTTATTATTTTCTGTCTTGTTAGGGTCTGTTTGGTTGGTTTAGAGTCTTTTTTTTTATTTGCTGTTATTGTACTTTATTTACAGCAGGGGCACAAGGGTCTTTTTCCCTTTCTCTTAGTCGCCCTATAAATATTAATATAATCTGGCGCTGCTAGAACCATTCCATTGTTACCAATCTCTCTTCTTCTCTTCTACCTTCTCTCTTCTTCCTCTCTTCCCTTCTCTCTTATTTCGAGTCAACTTTATACTGTCAAGAGGACTGTATCCAGTCCACCCCTCCCAAGACCGCAGATAGCTTGGACCGACATTGGGTAATGGCCTTAATTCTCATTTGATCCTGTTTGTGGTTATGTGTTTAATTATTTTTTCTCCTATGTTCAAGACCCACTGGAACAGTATTATTTCTTGTTATATTTTGTTTCAGAGGGAGGTTTTTCTATATCTGATTTGCATGCAATTCATGCCGTTCTATGTCATTGTTCCATCAAAAGAATCATTACTCAGGGACCTTACGATTGCCTGTTTGATTGAAGTTAACGCTCCAAATTTGGTTGACCATTCAATTGAATGAGTGTCTTCAGTTAAAAGGCCCAGTGTGTTATAGTTGATCTTTGATTTTTTGCTTTGGTTAGCACATGTTTTCTTCATTATAAGACTACGTTTTTCCATGGCCTCTGCTTGGTTCTCTGAGTCATCTTGATAGGTGTTGGATATCCACTCATGTCTATGAATAAATTTTATAGATAGAAGTGTGTAATTCAGTTAGGTTGTTTGCACTTGTAAATATGATTTTAATAAGTTCTCTTTTTCCAGTCCGTTCTTTCCTTTGTTGGCTTTAGGGATTTATCAGTAAAATCTGTGTATGCTAGGACAGTAAAACATGGTAACTTCTAGGCTGATCATTGTCCATTGTATTGAGTTATTTAGGATATGTTTCTTTTTTGTAGATCACAGTCAGGCCCTGCATCTGCTTGCAAGAAGGTTATTCACTCAGTTGTTCAGGATGACAATCCAAAATGTCCTGATAAAAGTGTGGGAATTCTACTTGTGCAGGCTGATGCTCCTAAAATGGTGAGCTCCCTACCTGAGACTTTTATTTTATTTTATTCTTAAAGACACTTATGCAAGTGATTTTTTCTGCTTTAGGTTCCAGGAAATTCCTCTAAGCTGAAAGCCATAGAGATTGCTGCTGCTTATTCTTCCTTGTCTTTTGGAATAGGTTATTTTGGAAGCTCTATGGATCGTCCCAAGGTATTACAAGTATTTGTTTTATTCATTGTTTTGTGTGTGCAACTGTGCATCTGTTGAGAAAAAGGGGTTGAGATTGATGCAGCAAGAATTTTATCAATGATAATACAAATTTCTTTTGGTGGTTTTGCATGGGAGTAGAGGGGCATAAAAGTCTTACCCCAAGAAACACATGGAAATGTTATAAAAGGTGACTGCCTTGTATCCTCAAATTTATCCCAACTTATTAAGTTTTTCAAAGTTCATACCTATGTTGCTTGCTCGTTCTTTAGTGCAGGTTTTAGAAAGACCATTACTTTTCCATTTTGAGGCTAGGAACTGTGTTAGTACATGAAGCCAATAAACAATTAAGCATAATTGTCATCACAGGCAATTGACTTAGAAGTATCATTTTTGTATTTAGAGGAAGTTACTATTTGTTATAGTATTTTATTTTCTCAAGTAAAATATCTGAACCATCATACCAAGAAAAAAATAAAAATTAAAAAGTGGCATGCCTTTATAATGGTCAATGAATGGTACATGCTGGTAATGCCGTCCTTCCCTGTTATTTTCTATATTTAAATGTCTTGGTGCATATGATGTTTCTACCTACACAGACTTTTACTATGATCATTCTATATGATACCAGATGCCTGTACATGCCTAGTGTAACATACAATACTTGATGGATATGATATCGGATACTACACAGATACTTCTACATGTATTTTATATCATTAACACTTATAAAAATGTAAAGTGGTATGTTTTAACAAATCATATCATAAAAAGATCTGCACATGTTAGAAATTTAATGAAACTTGGCAAATCTTGCATCTTGAAAAATGGCATTTGCCTTCAAAAACTAGATATAAACACATGATGTAAGCATTACATGGGATACCATACCTATATCCCTGTCCAGGATTTTTGGAAATGGAGAGTTACATCCCTGTTTTCCATATCCATGTCCATGTTCATATCCATATCTAAGCATCATAGCTGATCATGAATTTGTTAAAAGTGGCATACCTCAAACTAAGGCAGTGTCCAAGGCTTAGGTCAAGCTGGTCAGACATTCTGGCTGGATTATGAACAAAATGAGTTTTTTTTCCCTTAGGGTTGTTAAAACTGCTGGATGGGGATTTCTAATCTATTGGATGGTAGAATATATTGAGGCATACTGCCATCCCTTTTTTTGATTGACACAGTCAAGCAAATGTTTTGACAATATATTAATACTTATAAACCTGTGGGGGGAAATGAGAATTCTTTTCCAGTAATCAGGTGTTTGTCGCTGGGCTACAATCCCAAGCCTGCAGTGCAATATATTTCTATCAATTTCCCAAAAGTTTGGAACAGAAAGATGTGTAACAGGACCCTTTTATATATGCTTCTCTCGGACTGTCAGACATGCTATGTGGGATTTTCAGAAGCTTAGATCACATTGTAATCTCTGATTACTCGTCAAATATCCTAGTTGAGTGTTCTGAGATTCTGAAATCCCGTACTTCATGTTGCAAATTTTATTTCTCTTCAGTTGGGGATAAGCTGGACAGGAACATAGGACATCGTGGACGTGGTTATACTGTTCTCATAGCTTTGTTATTTGTTATTTCCTGCAGGTTTCAATTCTTAGGACTACAAAAAGGCAAACTACCACGAGGATTGACCATTTCGAAGCGCGAATTGATCTTACTATCACGAAATCCTGACTTCCTGAATGGCAAGGTCAATATTATCGCCATTTTAGATTATTAAATCATACATCCTAATTATGTAAAATGGGAGATGGAGGGTGCAATTTTGTTTATAAATTGAAGCTTTGTTTCTTCTAAAGTACGGTTGCACACTTGCACTCAGGTGGACCCACCAAGTGTTATGGAAAGTAGATGAATTACCTATTTCTAGATCCATGTATTTTTTTAATCTTTTTTATCAATACATGTATAATTGGACATCCCTTTATTTGATTGGATTGGATCAAATTCGTTTGCGTTAAAATCAAGTTACGACCCATATCGAGCTCGCATTTAAAAATTTACGGACTCCCAACTGTTAACCGCAGTTTGGACTCCAAAACCCACTTCAATTTCCTTAACCGCCCAAACCACCGCTTCCTCTCTCTCTCTCATTACTATGTTCGTCACTTGTTCAAATGGGGTAGCCATTGTTACCTACATTCAAGATTCACCATATCTCCATAATCACTTCCTACTTGTAGATCTAAGAAGAGGGAAAGAGAAGCCATGATGTTGCAAACCTTGGAGTCCTGTGACCGAAAACCAGTGAGCATGATCGCCGAGGAGAATGTTTCTTGCCGGACGTGCTGCCCTGAACCTGAAATATTGAAGCCTGAAAGAATGCTTCTATGCCCTGAAATGTTTGAAACTTAACATTGATGTAGGCAGCTTGAAACAGAGGAGATCAAATCAGCCCCCCACAACATCCCATAATACATCCCCGCCCTGTATTGAAAACATCTCCTGATAATGACATCATCATTTCTAATATTATCATTGGGAGATGTTCCTAATATATGGTGGGATGTGCTGTGGGACGTTGTGGGGGGTTTTCAATGCAACTCTTGGACTTCTTCCCCTTGGACACAAGATAGTGGGATACAGGCACACAACATACGTGCACAAATAAAAAAATCTTCATTTTGTTGAATGGTTTGAGCTTCCTCGGAGAGAGTTGAGCATTGATGAAGCCACTAGATTTTATTCATGAGCAAGAAGAAAGCAAAATTGGCAAGAAGCATTCTTTCAGTTTCAGTTTCATTGATGAGCATGGATGAAGCCACCGGTGATCGCCGCTCTTGTTCAAATGGGTCAGCGGCAATCACCGGCAAGAGAAATGGAGTGGCAAATAAAATAATGAGAGAGAGGAGGGAGTGGGTTGGACGAATTAATGAAATCGAAATGGGTTTTGGAGTTCATACTATTATAACAACAATGTTTTAAAAAATGACCCGGAAACGGAACCGTTCTGGCCACCGGTTTCCGGGTGTGCATTGACTAACGTGGGTTCGAGTCATGTTTCTCTCGTTTTTTTATTGTGAGATGTTGTGTCATTAGTTGAAACCATGGTTGATACGCTTCTGTATCAACGTGTATCAGCCGATACGAGGCATAGCGTATCTCGTATTGGTGCAGTTTGATACCAACCCCGTATCGATATTTTAGTCCTTGCTCCCACCGGTGAACCCACGGGTGGTGAACGCTGCAACTTCGAACAGTACATAGATGATTTCAACGAACAGTGATTCATTGTTTGAGCAAATAAGGGTTTACAAATGGGCACTATCATTATTTTGAAAAATACTCTCTCTCTTCTTCACATTGCAAGGGGTATTTGTACCATTCCATTTGTCCGTTAACGTCTGATGACGGGTAGGGACCAAGTTGACACTTTTTGGAAGTTTGGATACTGTAGTAACACGTTTGAAAGTTCAGGTACTAACTTGACACTACCCCCAAAGTTCAGGGTACTAAAGTGGAATTTTTCCTTTTTTTAGCATTTGTAATTAAAAGCAACCTAAATTTAGAAACAAATAAGGGCCCAAACTATGTTGACTGGTTCTGTAACCTTTGCTGATTTTAACATCCGAGAAATTGGACAATGTTGCTAAAAACCCTGCTCTAGATCGTCCGGGTGATATGGCTTTTGAGGCCCGTAGGAATATCAAGAATGGGAAAAGAAGAATCTCTCTTGTCTGGTGCTACATCATAGCCTCCATTGACAATTCGATACAGAGACAATTCGATTATATCGACAGAGACAATTCGATCAGATTGAAGTGTCCAATGATATCTTTGATAGTCTGAGGATGATGTACGAAGAGCAAAATCGTTCTACTCGACAAAAGGTCTTAAAGCTGTTTATGATCGCTAAAATGACTGAGAGCCAGATGGTTCATGACCATTGTCTAAAGATGATGGGTTACACTAATGAACTAGAGGCACTCGGGTCAGTGCTTGATCATGTCACCAAAGTTGATGCCATCCTAAACTCTTGCCTCCCTCCTTCAATCAGTTTATCATGAATTATAACATGAATAAGCTAAATGTTAGCCTTTAAGAACTCAGTAATATATTATAGAGGGCTGAAGAATTGATTAAGAAGGATAAGCCCATAGACATGCTTGTTGAAGGTGGCAAGGGGCAAGAAAAAGAGGAGAAGAGGAGGGCAAAGAAGAAACCTCAAAAACAGATTAGCAAACCTAAAAAGCTCTGGACAAGACATCAAATGTCTGTCACTTCTACAAACATACCATCCATTAGAAGAGGAATTGTCCTCATTACCTAGAGACTAAGAAATAAGGTAATTTCGAATCTTTTGTCATAAAGACAAATTTGTTGATCACTTATGCTTCCTGGTGTATTGACTATGGGGCTTCAACTTATGCATGTAACACATTGTAGGGGTTCAAGACAAGCAAAAGGCTGAGTGACGGAGAAGTTACGCTCTACTTGGGGACTTCTGTAATAGTTGCAACTACAACTATAGGAACTGTAGACTTAGTTTTCAGAGAAGGAATAATTGTACTTAAAAATTGTCTTTATGTACTGAACTTAAGAAGAAATTTGATTTCTGTATCAAAGTTGTGTTTGGATGGTTATTTTATTTTATTCAGTAATGCGATTACTATCAAACGAAATAACAAATTCCTCACTTACGGATAACTCGAGAATGGTCTCTATGTTCCTCATCCTTCTTTGAAAACAAACTTAACCGAAAATACATTGGAAATAGTCCCCAAGAAGAGAACACGGGAAATAGTTAATTTCACATGCCTGTGGCATTACCGACTTGGCCACATTAACATAGATCGTATCACAAGGTTGGTAATGACGGTCCTTTGAATTTTCTAACTGTAGAAGATCTTCCAACTTGTGAACCTTGCCTTCAAGGTAAGATGATGAAACGACCATTTACTAGAAAGTTTGAAAGATCTACAGGCACGCTTGACCTGATACATACTGATGTATGTGGTCCCCTAAATGTTAGGACGCGTAACCAGCACGTTTAGTTTATAACTTTTACTGATGATCACTCACGATATAGTTACGTGTATCTAATGAGACATAAATCTGAATCATTTGAAATGTTCAAAGAGTTTAGGCAAGAGGTCGAGAAACAGTTGGGGAGAGATCAAAGCCATTCGATCAGATCGATAAGGTGAATATCTCTATGACGAATTCAAGGACTACCTAAGGGATAATGGGATTGTTTCTTAGTTCGCTCATCCTGCTATGCCACAATTAAATGGTATGTCAGAGAGGAGGAACCAGACTTTATTGGATATGGTCTGATCACTTCTCATACACTCAGAACTACCTACATCCTTTTAGGGGTGCGCATTAGAGACTGCGATATACGTGTTGAACCGGGTTCTAACCAAATCCGTTCCTAAGACTCTATATGAGCTATGGACCGGTAAGAAACCAAGTGTAAGACACTTGAATATTTGGGGTTGTCCAGCACATGTTAAAAAAACAAGTGCTGACAAATTGGAATCCAAGACCAGTCGTTGCCTATTTGTAAACTACTCCAAAGGCTCTGTAGGATATTTATTCTATGACCCAAAAGTGCAAAAAGTATTTTGCAATCAAAATGCCCATTTATTGGAGGAATATTACATCTTGAACAATCATCATCAAGAAGTTATTCTTGATGAGGAGAGCTCAGGGGTAGTGGGAGATGTTCCACAGGCTTCAGATAATAACCAACCTAGAAGGTCTACTTGGGTATCTAGGCCTCCAGTTCGTTACGGCTATGATCAAGAAAGTTACTTGATGGAAGCCACGATTAATGAGGAGGATCCCATGACTTATATGGAAGCTATGTTGGACTCAATGAAGACCAATGGAGTCTGAACTCTAGTAGATCCACCCCTTGAGGTGAAAGCAATTGGTTGCAAATGGATATATAAGAGGAAGAAGAGCTCCAATGGTAAGGTTGAGACCTACAAGGCTCGTCTTGTGGCGAACAGGTACACTTAGAAAGAGGGAATTGACTATAAGGAAACACTTTCGCCCATGGCCATGCTTAAATCCATTAGGATCCTGCTAGCTATAGCAGCATATCATGACTACGAGATTTGGCAAATGGATGTCAAAACCGCGTTCCTGAATGAAAATCTTACTAAAAATATCTATATGCAACAATCGTAAGGTTTTATAGCTGCAGGTCAGGAACACATGGTATGTAAATCGATCCATATATGGACTTAAGCAAGCTTCTAGGAGCTGGAACATCCGGTTTGACTCTACCGTCAAATAGACTTTGAGCAGAATCCGGATGAGCCCTGTGTTTACATGAAGACAATGAGAGATAAGGTTACTTTCTTGGTTCTGTATGTAGATGGCATTCTACTCATTGGGAATGATGTAGAAATGTTAACCACAATGAAAGTATGACTTTCACAACAATTCTCCATGAAAGATCTTGGAGAAGCCTTTTACATCTTAGGACTTGGACTCTATAGAGATAGATCGAAGAGAATAATAGGATTATCCCAATCTGCTTACATTGACAAAATTATCAAGAGATAAAGTATGAAAAACTCCAAAAAATGAAATGTCCCTTTTAGGCACAGAGTCACTCTCTCCAAGATATGTCTCCCAAGACTCCCGAGGAGATTAAGGGCATGAGAGAGGTTCCCTACGCCTCAGTCGTAGGGAGCATCATGTATGTCATGTTGTGCACTCTGCTAGACATTGCTCAGGCCGTGAGTGTGGTAAGCAGATACCAATCTAACCTAGGACAAGAGCACTGGACTGTTGTAAAGAACATACTCAAATACCTTCAAAGGACAAAAGAGTTTTGTCTGGTATTCGATGGTAGTTCACTACAGATCCTAGGGTATACCGATGCCGATTTCCAATCAGATCTAGATGATAGAAAGTCTATATCTGGTTACATCTTTACGATGGGGTCCTGTACAATTAGCTGGAAGAGTAGCAAACAGGGGTCCACAGCAGATTCCGCAACCGAGACTGAGTGCATTGTCGTAAGTGAAGCTACCAAGGAAGCTGTTTGGATGAAGAAGTTCATTCAAGAATTAGGAGCAGTTCCATCCAGCACATCACCCATTCCATTGTTGTGTGACAACACTGGAACCATTGCTCAAGCTAAGGAGCCACGAGCCCACTCGAAGTCAAAGCACATTGAGAGGAAGTACCATGTACTATGGGAGATTGTTGGTAGAGGGGACGTCCAGACTCAGAAGGTAGCATTAGTGGAAAATGTAGCAGATCCATCGACTAAGCCACTAACATAGAAAGTGTTTGAGAAACACGTGGAAAGTATGGGACTCCGACTTGTACCCAATTGGACCTAAGTGCAAGTGGGAGTTGTTAGACAGTGTATGCCATTAGCTACAATCATCTTGATGTACTTATTGACATTTATTGTAAATGAATAAAGTACATATTTGATTCATGTTATATTGGTGTGTTTCTATGTAATACCCTTAAACTAGACACTTATGAGAATCGTGTTAGTTTAGAATCTTCACAGTCGTTGGATAGATCTTGGGAGATTTATCCTGCCAATGCTAACACTGATGTGCCGCCAAGTTGGTTGGGGTGGCTTGTCTTAGTTGTCAGGGTGAAACCTGAGGTACATCCAATGTGGGTTTTCTTAAAACCCTAAACCGGACCAAATTTCAGTATTGCCCTAGACCTTGGAGATAGATGGGCAAAACTGAAATGTTGCACTGACCCCTAGACTCGATTATGGTACTGCACTAGGTGTTGGGCTGGGCTGTCTTTGATATGCCAATCAGTGAAATCCTTAGAGGGGGTCAAAACTTGAGTATGTTGGGGTAGTCTGATAATTCATCTGAGTGGGTGATCATAGTGACAGGATCAGCCTCTTTGTCGGACAAAGTGAATGATCGGGGAATGCACTCTCTCTGATGGAAACCTAAACTGTCGGCAGTTGATTTCAAACTTGTTGAAATTTGTTTTACGAAATATATTTATATAGAGATATACATATATATATTACGGTTTCACAAATTGTTTGCAAAAGGTTTTAATTCCCGGGATCCATGTGAGTAAAGAGTGCAACACTGTACCTTGCAGCCGAGGGAGAGGTCATCTCTGTCGGGCAGTATTTAATTATTATGGGCTGAGAGGTTAAGTGTAAGACCATTGAGGGTAATACCTGATGGGCTAATCTCACATTTACCCATTGTCCTTGGGCCTTCATAAGATGGCTGGACCCAATGACCATTTAGTGTAAATGCTGGGCCCATTAAGAACCCATACTAATGGACTCAGGGGTTCACTGTATTCAGCAGTGAATTCGGGCAGGCCTTGTAACAGATGTTAGGCTGAACCCATATGGATGATGTATAGATCAATGATAGGGTCCCATGCCATACAAAGAGAGCCAAGCTAGTTATGATTAAAATGAAGTGAGCCTGAAAGATTAATGGGCCTAAAGCCCATTTCGAGCTAGGTTAATTAAATTAATTAAATATGGGCGAATTTGGGTATGGATCAATAGATAATTATAAGAGGATAACTCTTATCCACTTAAAGAGTCCAGATCCAAATAGAGATTTGGATCAGGAAACTTCTAATTTGATTAGGAGTAGCTAATCTTGATTTGCAGATAAGATAAGGGATTATCCTTATCACTTAAAGAATTCAGATCCAAATAAAGATTTAGATCAAGATTCGATCTTGATATTGTTTATTGGTGGAAGAAATAATTTTGAAGCTGTGCTCACTATCCTATTCGATTATTGCTGAAGAATCTGAGGTTCTTGTTGAAGAACCACTTACTGATCCTACCTCACCCTAAGTTTTGTCATCTTCAGTGGAGGAAGGATTTGGTACTCTCTTTGGGCGTGAACGCCTACGTTGGGAGGAGCTTTTTACGTGGATTTCGTATTAAGTATTCCTCTCCCTAATCTTGGTTTCAAATTTGGTCCGGTTTGTTTCAAAAATGAACATTGAAAAATATAGTTTTTCTAAATCAGGGAATAGGATTCCCATATGTGAGAAATTTTGCCCAACCACCCTGCGTGGTTCGGCCATCCATATGATGGATCCCCCATCCCTTCACCTACGAGATATGAGATGTATGGTATTGGATAATATTGATAGGCTATTGAGATGTATTTTTTTGGCAGGTAATCCAGACTTCATTTTCCATTCCAAACACTGCCTTAATAGAGTTCACTTTTGGTACACACAAAGCTGAAAATCATGGTCTTAGAGATACAGCAATGGCCCCACCTTCACTTCATCTAATAATTTAATGGGGCCATGACAACAAATCCAAGAGCTTTGATTAGTTGTTTCAGCCGAGGGCTACGATCTATCAAATGTAAATTGCACCTTAATAATGATGGTCAATTGCCCTATTTGGAATCACCTGCCAACAAAACAAAACATGCTCTAACACCCTCTCAATATGATCTGACATTCCCGCCATCTATTGGGAATATCTCCTGATGATTATACTAAAGAATAATATAATCATCTGCAAGGATGTGGTGTGGGACGTTGTGGGGGCAGTCTTGTGGGGCTGATTCGGTCTCGATAGGAGGTTGGAATGCATATTGTTGGCAGGTGATCTGGATTCCAAATATCCACGTGTAAATTATGGTTTAAGGGCACTCTTGTAGATCAAGCGTTTCTTAATCGCCCACGTGGCGTCATATTAATGGTTGTTTAATTAATAGTAAAGGGTCGAGCAGTGAACCATTGAGGAAAGAAGAGAACCAGCGTTCTGGAGGGGGACGAGACTCGAGACTCGAGCGAGCGAGCGAGCGAGAGAGAGTGAAAGAGAAGATGGTGAGGAAGGGAGGAGTAGTGTTCGATGAAGGGCCTCCAGATGACTTCGACCCTGCAAACCCATACAAGGATCCGGTGGCGATGCTGGAGATGAGGGAGCACCTGGTGAGAGAGAAGTGGATCGACATCGAGACGGCCAAGATATTGAGAGAGAAGCTCAAGTGGTGTTACCGAATCGAGGGCATCAACCATCTCCAGAAGTGTAGGCACCTCGTCCACCAATACCTCGAGGCTACCCGTGGCATTGGATGGGGCAAAGACGGTCGTCCCCCCGAATTCCATGGTATTGTTCTTTCTTTGTTTCTCTCGCTAGGGTTTCTTCCTGTCCTTGCTTCTCCTCGATTAACATATTCTGATTCTTCCATTGATCGCTGTGTTTCTGAAAATTTCCTTCTTTTAGGTCCCAAGGTTGATCCGGAGTGACTTCATTTAGCTTCAAGGTTATTTCTGTTCTTTGTCTTTGCCGCATGATGATCTATTAAATTATTAAATCTCATATTTTTGATACCATAGTACCTCAGTTATGTAGAATTTGAATATGCATGTTCTTTCTTTTAGGAGTCAGGGTTTGCGTTAAAGTTTGGTTCTTTGATTGCTTTATTTATTTGTGCTTTTTCTTTGGTGGAGTGGGACCTTGTGCGAACTAAACTTAGTCCAGATAAATGCTAACTTTGAACTGAAATATAATCGTTAAGATGCATTGAGGTCCGTGATTGTCGATACACTGAATAGATGCATTTCTGACGTTCATTGATTGCTGATATTGAGATTGTACTGAGTGCCAGTATGAAGCCTCCATTTTCAGGTAGGGGCATAGGAGTGGTGGGAACCCAGAAATGAGGTAGTCAGTAGTTTTCTATTTTTCAGTACTCTAGGAGATGCGCAACTTAGTCTCTCCTGAAAATTCGCTTTCCATTGATGTGCATTTTTTCTTTGTTGCAATCCTTATAAGGTGTCCCTGAGTTCAACTCTGGGAAAGACAATGATAGTTGTATCAAGTTTAGTTGCTAAGGATGAACCTTCCCTACTTCCTGGGGCACCAAGTTGCATTTTCAGGATATCTCTACTCTCTAAGCAGTTGAGCTTACAACTATGACTTTTCTTCACAATATTCAGATAAGAATTTTGTGCTTTTTAGGTGTCCAAGGTCTTGTTACAGTGAGGTTTTAAGTGGCACCAAATATTCATTTATTGAAGACTTCTAACAACTAATCAAAATAGTTAAGCAATTAACTTATCAAAAAACAGCAAGGAATTAGATAACTAGTTTAAGGTATAGTTTGGATTTTAGAGCAAAGCTGTCTTTGTCTAAACTCTAAAGGTGATCATGTTCTTAATCAAATAAATTCAGGGCATGTTTTTTATTATCTTATAAGTCCAGTGCCATTTGAATGCATAAAGGATCTAGAGGTTCTAAACATATTATGAATTGGGTAGGTTTAGCCAATGGAACGTTATAGCTGCTTGGTCGAGAAGATACATTTAGAGTTACAAGCATGCTAATATATCCTTTATTATACTAATCGTGATTCATTATTTCTCCCTTTTTTTTACAACATATCAGCATGTGAAATATAATTTGTTTTTTTTTATGAATATGTGATATATAATTTATTGTATATGTTATCTTACCATATCATTATTTTCATTATTATAATCACTATGCATGAAAGTTTGTAGTTATGCATGTTTTGTTTTATTCTGTAGTTTGCCTAGTTAACTGTTGTGACACTTAGTACTTGGCATTTTACATTCTTGAAAACTTTAATCATGTTATAAAATGTTAGATTATTCTGTTTTTTTATAAATGTATTAAAAATATACTCTTGGGCAGCAGCACACAGGATGTTGAAGAATATACCTTATAATTCTTTTTTTTTTTATTTCAGTAATCTTTTGTATCTAGTTGATTGAAATGGGATTTTGGTTTGTACAAAGGAAATACTTGCCCTGCCAATGCCTTATTGTGCAGGGCTTTGTGTATGCTGTGTTATCAATATAATGAAATAGTTGATCTTCTCTCAAAATAAATAAATAAATAAATAAATAAAACATGTATACTAATAAACTAAATATATATATATATAGAAAATTGATTTTACACCATTTTTACTTTATCTCTACCATATTTGTACTTAATACAGCAGTTTTTAGCACTTAGACATGTATGGTGGTGTATTTTGTTAGTTCATTTAAAAAAAAAAAATGTACAAGTGTAATTCCTGTACAGTGAGTGTCTATACAGGGATACTTGTATTCTTTACAAAATTTATATGCATCAGCCCATTTCCTAAATAAATCTTGTTCTAGTAAGAGCTTTAAAACAAAAGTCCCATAAAAGAAAACTAAAATAAATAAGGCTCAATTTGGAAAGAGTACAAATGCTATGTACAATATAAATACATACAAAATACAAGGTTTTGCACTCTACACATTTGTATTTGTACTCTATCCAAATTGAGCCTAAAGGAATAAAGAATAGAGAACTGACTTAGAATTGATCCCAATCATGTAAATCATAGGTTTCACAGATCAAATTGAAAGACAAAATATAATCTTAAGAAATATTTAGAAAAGGATTCACATACAAGATTCAAATTTAAGCCTTTGGGTTTCAAAATTCAAATCATGAATCTCATCATAAATTATAACATTTTGAAACTATGATTTGATGCTTATATTGAAGGATACTTGCATAATCTAAAATTTAATTATCAAATACAATGTATCATGATATAAAGTTAGGAACAATCAAAATATGTAAAGTAGCTTGTGTAGGACCTGCATCCTTTCTATTACTCATGTAATGCTCTATCAATTGAGCACCTTGGCAGTGATTTAAAAGGCGCGCCTAGGCGCACAGGCAAGGCGCATTTAGGGTAGGTGCCTCACCCAGGTCCTAGGCGCAACACTTTCAAAAGGTGCACGCTTGGTGCGCCTGATGCGCCTTGTGCCTTGGCCTAGGTGTGCGCTTGATGCGCCTTGCGCCTTGGCCCAGGTGTGCGCCTGATGCACCTTGCGCCTTGGCCCAGGCGTGTGTCTTTTGAAAATTGTACTTCTTTTGTTTTTTTTTTTGAACCTAGCAGCTGGGCCGGGGGGTTCCGCCCCCTAACCCTGACCACGCCCTCGAGGCAAGCCCAAACAAGTCCATGTTAGGGTCTTAAATTCTTAATTCTCACACAAAAATAATGATTTTATAATTTTATTTGCCTTTTAAGAAGACATTTTATTAAGGTGAAGCATTAGCAAATAGGGGGTTCTTGGAGCGTGGCACAAAGGCGACTTGTAGAATTAGGAATGTAATATGTTTTACATCACATTAGCTACTTGAAGTAATGCAATTGAAGAGAAAAGAGATTGTGGGCTTTACGTGCTTGAAAATGTTTTATATGTTTGATTTTATTTTTAAATTTTCATTTGAATATGCTTTACATGTTATGTTTATGTATTTTAATTTTAGATAATAGGTTTTTTAAAAACATTAATTTTAAAAATTAAGTTTATATTTCTTATTAATATTTTTTTTTGATAAATGTATATTTCTTATTAATATTATGGTTAATATTGTTGCATTTTTTGAATTTTCTGGCTTTTTTTATTTTTTAGCAATTTTTTGTATTTTTGCGCTTTGCTTAAAAAAAGGCGCATGCCTTGCTTTGCGCCTCTCACCTCGGGCGCAAATTGGCCCTTGCGCCTTGCACTTTTAAAACACTGCACCTTGGTTAAATGAAGCATAAGGTTAAAATCTCTGTTAAATCTTAAGCGATGAGATATTTGCCTTTGCCTAGCCTCAGGTTTTTGCTTTTTAGGGTATTATTCTGGCTGCTTTCAGGTTTCTTTCCTTTCAAAGAGACTTTCTTTGGTAGGGGTTGGAGGAGGAGAGGAAAATCCATGCTGTAAATTGGGACCAAGTCTGCCTCCCACTTGAGGGAGGGGGCCTTAGCATCAAAAGAATTAAGGACTTTAAAGTGACTTGACTTGGAAAGTGGATATGGAGGTTTAGGGTAGGTATGGAGGACCGGTGGAGAAGATTGATTGCTGCAAATTTTGGTGTAATAAGAGGAAATTGGACCTCAGATGACCCCTTAACCTCATTTGGCACCTCTATTCAGAAAGGCATAATGAAGAACAGTGCCTTCTTGAAGGGGGTAGAATATATGCTGTGTGATGGTGGCAGACTCGGCTCTTGGCCGGACCGCTGGTGCTCCAGCAGGCCTTTGGTTGAGTTATTCCCACACCTGTACCCGTTGGCCAAGAACAAGGACGCCCTAGTGGCAGATTCATACCAAAATTGTGGGGGTTACATCTTTTCTCCTACTTTACATAGAAATATCCAGGAGTTGGAGATTATGCTGGAGCTCCTTCTAATTCTGAGGAATCAGAACATAAGGGTGGGGCAGGAGGATGAGTTGGTGCTGGAGATGGGAAGGTAGTGGCATTTTTTAGTTAATTTTTGCAAGGAATCTGAGAACTCCCAGGGGCATTTCCTTCCCTAGTAAAATTGTGCGGAGGTCATCTGTACCCTCTTAAGATCAGTTTCCTGCTGTAGACAGCATCTCTTAACAAATGCTTAAACAAGGACAGCTTGCTTAGAAGAGGCCTGCAAATACAAGACCAGATTTGTGTGTTTTTCAGGCAAAACCTGGGAAGTGTTGATAATTATTCATGCATTACCATGCAATCAAGAGGTATGATTGCACTTCATCAAGTCAACCTGAACTGGATAATACCTTGTTCTCTCACTGATCTGCTGCTGGCCTGACCACTCCATGGTTTAAGCAAGAGAAGGAAAAGCCCTGAGGGAGATGATGCTTGCTGCTATAGTATGGACAATTTGGACTGAGAGAAACAGAAGAATTTTCACCAACACAAAAGGGAGGAGGAGCTAGTTGGGAAGTTGGGATACTTGGATCTTGGGCTTCAGCCCTGAAACAATTCCATCACAAAAAAAAAGGCAGTGCCCCTAATGTCACATGACTACATGGTGGATGATCACCCTCATTATCGAATACATGATAGGTTCTGTGAAATCTACTTATGGTCATCGTTGACATGGATTCATATTGGCTAATGTGAATAGAAGTTCCAGAAGTTTTGTGATAATGAAGAAAGGTGGTTTGTTGAACTTATCCTGAGCCTCCCGTCATCTGCATATTCTTCCATTTGGTCATTAAATCTGACTCCTGGGCATTGTTTGATTCATTATAGATGCATGTGAAGAGTTGTCTTTGTGGCATCTGGTGTGTCCTTGTCAATATATTGCACTTGGAACAAAAGGGGATATTAAATGCTGGTTAGGAATGGTTTTTGAACCACTTATATTTTTTTAATCAACACTTTTTTTTTTCTTTTGATGAGCACCACTTGAAGTTTTCAAACATCAAACTATCATGTTGGAAACTATGTTCTGAAAAGTGACATCTCTTGTTCAACAATTTCAGCTTTCTTATTCTACAAATAAGTTCTGTCAACCAGAATTATGGTTAAATCCTTGCAAGATAGGTATTTTTACCAAGGAGAATCCTTCCCATGTCTGCAAAATGCATATGACTTGACATAATAGGGTATTCTTCTAATTATTATAGATCCTCCCAAATATCTGTCAACCATTGTTCAGATATATATATATAAACCATTTCTCTAGATATTCTTTCAATTGATCAAGCGCCTAGCTATAGTGCAATTTTATTCAGGAAATCAATTTTTGTGGATACCGGATACTAGTCTGTTATTTCTGTGTGCTAAAAAGAACTGTGGAGTCTATTCTAGAACAGCTGAAGTACAGGGCAAATCTTTTGGATATGAGCACCTAGCATGTTGCGTTTCTTAATCAATGTCCATGGTCCATATCTACATGGACATGGCGGCCATGCCAAGTTGCCAACTTACCTATTAACTTATAACCTGGCAGTCTGGCCCTCGTGGCACTTGTGGTATGATGATTAAAAGTTGCAACCTTTAAATAAATGTAATGCTATGTTAGAAATTTGTTGTTGATAATTTTTGTTGTTTGTGATTGAAAATGTTCTCCTTAGGTCTTCACAGTAACTATGTTTCATGCATGCTGAAACAAATTTCTTATTTGTTTTTTTCACTGCAAGACAAATTTCTTATTTGTTGTACACAACCACAAAGATACAAAATATATTAATTAAGCAATAAATATAGAGTTCCTCAATATCATTATTTTTTTGTGCAGGTAACGGAAATTAGCAAGCAGGGTGGTCCAAAAGTCAAGCAAGGAGTTCTATCTCCAGCAAATCTTCTGTTGCCTAATTGATTACAATGCCAACTTGTTCTTTTTCTTGAATTAGACGGAAAAACATCCCATGATTTTTTTTCCAGTCGAGTTATGTGCAAAGTTTGCCATTTTTCCTTATCTTCTCATGAGATTATGCACTTACTGGCGTCAGAACCCTTGTGGATTAAGATGAAGGATAGATGGACCTTGAATTATGAAATAAGTTTGTTCTCACAATTCTTGCACAAGTTTAAAGTTTTACAATTATACTTGGATTATCTTCGTTTTTATAAGGGCCATTATTTGAAAATCCCTGTAACTTTTCTTTCTTTTAAAACTTACCCAGATTATTTAATACTTAAGGTGATAATCCTTTTTTGTATTACCTGTGCAAATGAGTTGATCCTTCTGTAATGCACACATTTCCTCATATGCATTGACCTTTGACCAGGATAGTTTATTATGGATTAGGGAATTGTTGTTTCTTCTGATGCTTTCCAGGAAAAAAAAGAAGAGAAAGAAAGATATAACTCTACATCTGGACTTGCTATTTTTGGGTTAGTGGAGAAAACTGGTACAAAAAGGGTGTTGATAAGACAAGCGTTATATTCTTGCAGAGCTTTAGTGGTTCATAAACTTTACACGCTTGGTAGGCCAGTATTTGCAATGGCGTAAATCTGTGAACTTTTTTATTTTGTAGAACTGTGAGCGTTCTTTTTATAAAAATTTGATGCTAAAATTTTCTAGCACTGGGAACCAAACAGCCCAAAGCTAGACCCAGGATCTGATTTAGAAACATTCAATCATGCACCAGGGCCACGGTACAATACAACAAAGTTTTAGATTTTCTGCCTTCTTCCTGCCTTAATGATTAGATTAGAGGTGCAAACAAACATCGTGCAAATGCATGGCAGCCATCCAAAATCCAAATAATTGCGTTCGAATGCTTGCAGATTTTAGAAATTAAACAACTCAAAAAACTTGCCCGGTCGGTTACCAGTGAATCGACATACTTCACATTGCAGGTTTCTCACATAAAAATAATTAAAACAAGCAAAAGGAAAGTGGAAGTAAGGTCATCAGAGGGTGTAGGCCTATCTGTGTTGATCAATACTCAAAACTGACCACATTTACATATCCAATATGGAATTCAGACGCCATTTCCTTTAGACTAATCACATTAGAGTTCGGGTTATAATCTGGTATCTGACCATTTTAGACCATGATGAGTTGATGACTGCATGTCATTCGTTGGAGCCTTGGAGGCATCAGCCGATTGGTGAGCTAAGCCCCTCGTCCCCATGAATGCATATATGCATGGCACGTTACGGTAAAAACTAAAAACAGCACGGACGCTGCTTCTTCATACCTTCGGGCTTTAATTTCAGTGGGCGGATAAAACCATAAAACAGCAACTGTGTTCATCAAAAATCAAAACTCAGAAACTGAAAGCATGCAACTGTATTTATATAAATTTCATTTCTGGGTAGGTAACCACAAAAATATGGAGAAAGAACATGTTCAGATAAGTAAATAAGTTGAAGTAGAACGAAACACTACACAGTACACACCTTCTTCTGACTCTTGTGAGCAGCCTTAAAAGCTTTCAGAGCTTCTAAGTTCTACCTAGAGAAACAACATTCCTTTGACCTTTAGCTGCAATCCATGATCTTCTTTTTCTTTTCGGCTATACCTAAACACAAAAGTGAGAAAAATAAAACATGTATATATGATCTTCAATCGTTTGCCTTGTCATGTTAAAAGAAACAAAGTGAAAGGAGAAAATAACAAATAACTTAAATCCAATAGTGTGAAACGGGATGCTGAAATGTCACACACTAGTGATTCAACGGGAGCTCCCTTCAGTCCAATGAGCGAGCAGAGTAAGCGGGAGGAGTTGCTCCCACACCATGCAAATGGCTAAACTTACATATTTATCTGCTCCATCCAACGTAACTCTCACTATAGTCACCACGCACTGAAAAGAAATAATAAGGCTAGCCTACTGCATGAGGCGGCAGCTCTAACCGCTCCTTTGCCCTCTTTATTGGACTGAATGGAGCTCCTTGAAACCCCCACGTTAAACCCAAACTTTTATATCTGCAAGTTCGAAAACTAGGAGAAGATCTCCCAGTGTAGATGGTCCCTCCCTTCCCTCTTCCCTTCTTAAATACTGCTTCTTGCTGCAGTCTTACACACACACACAGCTGGAGAGAGAGAGAGAGAGGGAAATGTTTGTAATAACTAGAATAGCACTTCAAGTACGTACCCTGATTGTCAGCAGAAAGTGATGATATCATCACAACCTCCTCGTCTCTTGTGAATTTATGTAGTATTGATTCAGTTTTTGTTGGTATTCCAACTTTGGGTAGCAGCAACCAGTCATCCACCCCAAATTCCTCTCTTCCTAATATTGGACCAAAACTAAACTGGTTCATGAATCATATTTGCGGTTGCGGCCTGACCAGGCCAGTGACCACATCCACATACAGCATCCTTGAAAAAGTCAAATATTAACAAAACTCAAGAAGAAGAAGAAATTGTAGCAATTACTTACTCACCCGACCCATAAACCAATATATTATTATTTCTCTGCAGGAGTTTGAGCAATTATCACTTCTCGGACTCGAAGCCTGGTCATATATTCGGTTAATGCACCAACATGGTTTTCTCACAAAAGGGGTATATGGTGAGTTCGATCTCAAACCATGTTTGGGTTGTCTATTGAGCTACCCTAGTTCTAGCTAGTTTCAGTTCATATCCAGGTGTTTGGGCCCGGCTTAATAAAACCCTTTAATCAGCTAATAATGAAATGCTGTTGTGACATCAAACAGCACAGAGAGGAGCAGTTTTATAGTTGGTCAAGTTGTTTTGACCCATTTCTTGTTTAAAGAAGAAACAAAACTGGGTCTGGAGCAGTCCCTCAGGGTTGTTTGTTTTGTTTAGACTGATGAGATCTTAAAAGGAGATTGAGCGTACTATGTTATTCGCGTGATCATCGATTGGCAAAGGCTTTCTTCTGAGGAACAGACCTTTTCTCTCCTTCCTTAAACAGCTAAAACCAATTAAAAACAAGGGGCCAGAAGACAGCTTCAAATTTCATCGATCTATCCATGTAGTTGTAGTTGTAGTTTGAGAAGTATAGTATAGAGGTGTACATGGTGAGCTGTAAGCTGCTTCTGCTACTGGGTCTGGGTGCATCCATATTCTGGGCTCACTGTCATTGTTTTTTTGTCTCTATTTTTTTTTCACCTGCAACAATCAGGATTCCTCTATTCAGAAAATCTAGCTTTTCCAAAATGACGGATATGCCCCCTTTCCCCGCCCTGCAAAATAACATTATTGGTGAGCGAGCTCATGGGTGTCCAAGAAAGGCCACGATCATCATTAAGGGGTCAAGGTACGGTAGCTGAATTAGCGTTTGTCGGCTTCAACTACTGTTGGGATTCTCCTCTGATCATTTGGACCAAGCCCATGTCTAATTTAATTTGTGTCCTTTTGTTAGACTTTGCCAGAGACCAGAGGCCAGACGGAGTGATGATCAAGCGTGAAAACTCCCCGGCCCCTTTTCAAGTTTGAACTCTGGAGTCTCAAGTCTGGACTGGAGGAATTGGAATCGGTATCGAGTCAATCCACTGAGCCCTAACATGGGTCATCATCAGCCATCTCTCTCTTAACTCTCATTGGATTTGGATTGGCTGGCTGGAAAATGGGAATAGTTTTCGCCTTTTCAAGGGGCCAAATTTGTTCTTATTTGGTCCAGGGTGTTGCCATAGACACACTCAACTTTTAGGGGGTACCCACAAAATAGAAATAATTCCTGGGGTGGGGGCTCCGTTATCCAACAGGTGCGCTTTCTATTTATGTATGTGTTTGAGTGTTTCCACGAGTTCTAAGCCAAATATCTGTCAGGGATGAATCCATTTATCCCCCAAAAGTCGTTTCTTCCACCTTGTGATAAATTTGAATATGAACTAGAATTAATGATGGAAAGCTTAAAACCTGAAAAGATCCTCTCTCTCTCACAGATGGGCAGAGCTCTTTAAGGTTGGAACTTGGAAGTGTGAATAATGTCTAGTCTTGGCTCTTGAGAAAACTAGCTAGCTAATCAGTATCACCGGCAACAAACACACTTGTGTCGTTCTTGAGTCACACGGCTGAAAGTTGAAGCAACAACGGAGGTATGGTTATGAAGTAAAGGTGTAAAAAGGGTTAGAGAAGACATTAGGGAAGCTGGAATAATCTGGGCAAAGTAATGGCTACTCTGGTTTTGATGAATCCCTTCCTCAAGGTTGAAGAGGGGATTACCAGTAGGCATTTGGGCACCTTGGCTGGTTTATGTGATTTGTAGGCAACATCTCAACTTGTGGGTCAGTATGCAGAGTGATATGGAGTATGGGCGTTGAGTGAGGGCAAAGTTTAGTAACTGAGGTCCCGTTTTGTTTGCGGGAATAGGGGTCTAGAATTGGAATCGGAATGGACTACTTCCATTCCAACTGTTTGATTGGGTGGAATCATTGAAATGGCATTCTCTCATTTGAGGAAATGGTCATTCCCTGCCTTTTTTCTTGGGAATGAAATTCTATTCCTGCTTATTCCAATTTCTATTCCTATTTCTATCTGAATTCTGAACAAAACATACATAAAGAATGAATCATTCTGATTCCAATTCCAACTGCTAACCAAACGGACCCTGAATAACACCCTCCATTCTCTTACTAATTTTTCAGCTGTTAGACTGATTGGAATTGTTATATGTTCAATTCGTAGTCAAACCAACCATTTAGACTGGTTGGTCCATCACCTACCCAGATTTCCAAGTCTCTTTCACACCCTGAGGCCTGAACCGCTCACTGACCCAGGTTGTACCATTGCCTTAGTTTTGATTATGTGATGTAACAACTCATATTTTACCCAATTTCTATTCATCAATCCTCACGTTTCATGAAAAACGTCAATGATACTTTAGCACAACCTTAATCAATGATCTAGCGGCTGTTTGGCATCTTTGCTCATTAGCATTATGTAGGAAAAAACGGTGTTTCAAGAAATAGTCATCTGTTTGGAATCATTTTTTTATAAAAAACGGTGCTCTAAGCAACGCCTTGGAAATTGAGAAGACATGGCTTGGTGCAATACCAAATTTGGTGTTTCCTGGAACTGTAGCTCGTTGCCAACAAGGCAGTGATGTGATACTGGATAATGGGTAGAAGTGCAGAAAGCTTTTCTCGGAGCATTAGTATCAAATAGAAAAAGTTGTTGTTGCTCCAGGAAACGTCCTACTTGGCAACAACGATTTCAAACAAAAAAAAACACTGTTTTCTCATAAAATAGTGCTTCCAATCACACATTAGTAGCACCGTTTTCTCAAAAAATGGTGTTGCTGCAATTGCAGCATCGATGCCAAACACTAGCCTAATGATCCACTCTATTACCAAAAAAGGAACAATTTGATTCAATTAGCCAATAGTGCTTGTTTATCACACTTATTTTAAATTAATATGATAAGTATATAATATTAGGTATATGTTTGACATCGATGTTGCAGTTGCAGCATGATGTGTGGTTGGAGGCACCATTTTCTCATAAAATAGTGCCTTTATTTTTGTTTGGAATCGTTGCTGCCAGGTAGGATGTTTCCTGGAGCAACAACTTTTTTTGTTTGGTATCAATGCTCTAGGAAACATTTTCAGCACTAGTACCCATTATCCAGCCATATCACCGCCCTGTTGGCAGCAACGAACTGCAGCTCCAATAAATACCAAATTTGGCGTTGCTTTAAGCCATGGCTTCCCGATTTCCGAGGCATGGCTTGAAACACCATTTTTTATAGAAAAACAGTTCCAAACAAATGCCCGTTTTCTGAAACACCGTTTTTTCCGATGTGGCGCTGATGTGGCACCATTGCTCTAGGAAATAGCAACGATGCCAAACAGCGGCTAAAAATATAACCAATTTAATATACAAATTTTTTATAGTTTATATATTTTTATTTAATTTATGGCATCATACACCAGCTCATTTGACTTGCATGGTTAATCGGCTTACCCACCGCTTAGATGGAAAAATATTTCATTTTCCATTAGTTTTAAAGACATTAATTCTTAACTTGTTTCAATAGCTGGCACACGGCTTACAAGTCCTATCACTCAATATGCTTGGCACAAAACCTGAAATGAAATCATTTCATTTACTGCTTTTTAAAGGCAATTGATCTCTCAATATCATCTAAAAAGTCATTTTCAATTGCCAAGGAAATTTTTAAATGAGCTCATTTTTGCAATACCTAAGCAAACACAACAATTGTGGATAGTGATTCCAAGTCTCTCTCTCTATATATATATTAATAGAATTAGAGTGCTCTTGCAATAAATGGAATTTACTCGTATTCGTGCGAGAAGATTCTTACGTGAGATCAACCAATTTTTTATTAATTATATAAATATTATTTATATAATTACCTAATTATTGTTTATATAATAATCTAATTATATAAATATATAATAGTTATTATAAATATTGTTAATAATTAGATATTGAACTGTTCGAACAGTTTTGACCTTTTTTTTAATTTTTTGTTAGAACGGGTTGACCCTTCAACCCGGTAATCGGACCCCTGCCCGGTTCAGTCTTCGGGTCGGTTTTAAAAACCATGACGTTATGTCATTCAAGTGTGTGACTCATATGACCCAAAAATGGAACCGTTCTAGCAACCGGTTTTCGGGTCAACGGTTCAGTCGTCCGGTTCGAACGGACGGCCCGTTCTAACAACAAAATTTTAAAAAATAAAAAAATGACCAAAAACCATTGAACGAGTCAATGGGTTGACGGTTCAACCACTCGGGTCAATGGGTCGTTAACCGATTCAATGGTTTTTGGCCAGAGATCGGGATTGAGGTAAAATGAAACATGTTATGTCATTCGAGCATGTGACTCATACGACCTAAAAACGGAATCGTTTTGGCCACCGATTTTCAACGACCAAAAATTAAACAAATAAAAAAATGACCAAAAACCATTGAACGGGTCAATGGTTTGACCACCCAGGTCAATGGGTCATTGACCGTCAACGATTTTTGGCCAGGGACTGAAATCAGGATAAAACGGAACTGGTTGTAT